TAACCAGGAGAAGATGATTTTTTTGGAAAAGAAATCTCTAAAATGCGATTATATTGGGCTATTCCTAACAATTTCAAAGCTCATTTGTGTACCCTTTACCATAATATGGAGGATATATTAAAATTGTTATTCCAATTGTAACACCTCGAAATATAAATTTTAGACCCCACAAAGAATATATATTCTTGATCAGGATGCCGATTTAGCAATGTCCGTCCGTCTGTGGAAATCACTCTAGCTTCCGAACGAAATGAAGTAGGTTGATAAAATTTTAGCCAGATGTGTGTTAGGTCTTTGTAGTATAGGACATGGCCTATATATATGTCCAGGTTTTGGTATAGCCCCCACATAAATGTACCATCAGATTTAAAGTTTTTTGTGTTTTAGTCACAATTTTGACCCGAATTTACTGTAAAGTGGCAGCATGTGCGAATCGTGTAAGAAACTCCCCTTACTTAGAACTGTCAATATAGGACCATACTTTGGTATAGTCCCCATATTACTACAACTTCAGATATTCAGTATTTTAATGATTTGTGTCACACTTTCCACGGGAATGTTTCAAATTTAGAATATGCAGGTCCACGTCTTCATATAGTCCCCATATAATGGTACCTCCCTATATTCGATATTTTGATGATTTTAGCTACAATACTCACAGGAATTGTATCAGAGTTCGTAAATTCCTAATCAGGTCCCGCGGAACTTATTGTCTTTTATACCCTCCACCTTGGAAGGAAGGATATATCAACTTTGTCATTCCGTTTGTAGACCCCATAAAGTATATATATTCATAATCAGCAAACAAATCACGATACAGGCCACATTATTTTACGTAGAGCGTCAAAATTTAGCAAAACAATTTGTATTGTGTCTAGGATGGTTGGTATTGAAAATGAGATTCCTGTCCACGTTTTGGTATTCGATACTCGGTATTTTGATGCCACACTTTTTCACAGATTTGTCTGAAAATATGTATTTCTAGGTCATAATGGGTCCTAGTTCGTGTGGCAAAACATTGTATGCATAAGTCCACGCTTTGGTATAGCCCCCATATAACGGTATCTCACGATATTCGGTATTTTGATGTTTTTTGTCACATTTTTTCACGAATTTGTCTAAAAATTGGAATTTGTTGGTCATAATAGGTCCTAGCTCCGTTGGCGAAACATTGTATGTATTGGTCCACGTTTTTGTATAGCCCTATATAGCGGTACCTCCCGATATTCGGTATTTTTATGATTTTTGCCACATTTTCCCAGGAATATGTCTAAAAATTGGTACTTGTGGGTCATATTTGGTTCTAATGTTTCCATTATCCTAAGATGGAGAGTATTAAAAGTTCGATCCGACCGAACATAATGTTTTTTACTTGTTTTAAAGTAGAGTGTTCTTTGGCTGTGTCGCACGTAATGCCGTCGAGCTAAAACCAAATGCTACCTTTTTGTGAAGAAAAATCCGTCCGATAACGTAACGGCTACTCCTCGCTCATATTCGAAGAAAAATTACCCAATTATGCCTCTTAACCAAAATCAGCATTACTGGCTTTTCAATGTAAACGTTAGATAACGGACCCTATAAAAAAGTCCCACTTTTCTCATAAAATATGCCTATACAGGTTTGGTCATATTATCCACACACTAAACTATCTGTGACACAGCACAGGTCATTTTTAATCCTTGAGGGCCCAGTCTACCCTTAAAGTATTACAGATTGGATGCTGAAGTTATTAAGGGTTCTTTTACAGTCACTATATATAGGGTGAGATAAAAAAACTGCAACAAAGTCAAACGCCGTATTTTTTAGCATCAAATTTTAGAATAAGTTTAGATTTGTTCGAATTGGTCATCTTTGGCAGGAATTATGACCTTCAAACGGTCAATAAAACCGTGACACGCTGCCCGAATTTTGCTCTGCGCTATTTTGGCCCATTCCCGGCGAAGCGCTTACTTGAGGTGATCGACACTTTGGTATTTTTTATGTGCCAACCTTGCTTTCCAAAATACTCCAGACATAATAGTTCAACGGATTGGTATCCGGAGATTTTGGTGGCCATTGTGTGCTGGAAATGAAGCGAGGAACCTCATTTTGTAACCATTCTTGGGTGGCGCGTGCAGAGTGCGATGGTGCTGAGTCCTGTTGGAATATCCATGGTCTGCGACCAAAATGTTTGCGTGCCAAATGCTTTAATACAACCTCCAGAATATTTTCGCGATAATATTCGGCATTTATTCGTATGCCACGGTCGTTTAATACGAGGGAAGAGCGACCATCGGCTGTTATGACGGCCCACACCATCACCACGGCCGGCGCTTGAGTTCTGGTGGCCAATCGAAGGTGCACATTTTCAGCAGAACTCTTTGGCATGTAAGCACGATAATTTAGTTTGTTTACAAACTGCTGGACAACGAATATTTTCTCATCGGGTAAAACCAAATTCGGCAGTTCACCATTTTCGGCCAAGCGAAGCAACTCTTTTGCTCTTTTGAGCTTTGATTTTCATTCTGTTGCGGTGTAAGTTCTTGCACTTGTTGGAATTTCAATGGCTTTACCCTTAGCCCATTTTTCAATATTTGCCGAATGAAATATTGCGATATGTTCAGCTCATGAGGCATTTTTCGGGCACTGCGACGCTGGTTTCGATCAAGTGGCTTCTTTACTTTTCGAACCATTTCTGCTGATGTTGCTGTTTTCTTCCCTTCCGTCCACTTCCTTGACGTCGGGCTACGTGATCAGTATCACGGCAAAGAGCATGGTACGAGATATATTCACATTTAAATTCTGGAGTGCCCAACGAAAGCCACTTGTGGTTTTCCAGCCAAATATAAAGAAATCACACTGTCACCCTTGAATTCCATAACGAATAATTTTTTTCTGGAAAATTCTCACCAATGTAAACAATATAATGAGCTGTCACTGGAATAATTTTAACAGCTGTCGGACGAATGGCTTAGAAATTACAGCAGTCTGAAAATTTTTGCAGTTTTCTCATCTCACCCTGTATTTTCTTGATCAGCTTAAAAGAGTTGTTTCAAATTTCGTATTTAGAGTTTGTAATGGGAACGGCATTCTATGACAGAAAACTGTCTACGTAGGTCCAGGTCTTTGTATAGCTCCGATATAACGGTACCTCCCTATATTCAGCATTTTCACCGATTTTTTTTCAAGTTTCGTATTGAATATTGTAATGGCTTATGACAAAGGTTGGCTATGCAGGTCCACGCCTTCGTTTAGACCCCAATATAACGGTCATATTCGGTATTTTTGAGATTTAAACAGAATTTTTAACGGATTTAATTATACCCTACACCACAACGTGGTCAGGGTATTATGTATTTGTGCATTTGTTTGTAACAGGCAAAAGGAAACGAGATAGACCCATAGTTCCTTTTGATGATCTGCATAGAATAACATTCTGAGTCGATTTATGCATGTCCGTCTGTCCGTCTGTCCATGTATTTTTGTAAACAAAGTACAGTTCGCATTTATTGCCCTATCCAGATTAAATTTTGCACAAATTATTTGTTTAGCCCAAGGACGAACCCTATTGAAATTGGAGATAATCGGTCAAAATTTAGATATAGCTCCCATATATATCTTCGTCCGATTTGCCTTTTAGTGTGCACCAAACGTGTAATATCAGTCCGAATAGTATGGAATTTTGCACATAAAACCATATTGGATCTGAAAATAAGTATGCCAAATTTGATCGAAATCGGTTCAGATATAGCTATAGCTCCCATATATATTGTTCATCCGATTTGTTATTTTTGTCCTCCGCAGCCGTAATATGCACTCTGCAACAACAATATTTGGGGAAATATAACAAATGCAGCTCAGAAATACATTTGCTAAATTTTATCGAGATCGGTTCAGATTTGGATATAGCTCCCATCTATAAATTCTTCCGATTTACCTTTTATTGTACACCAAAAGTTTAATAATTGCCCAAATTGGATGAAATTTGGCACTTACGACCGAATTCAGTCTAGAAGCTAGTATGTCGATTTTAGTGAAGATCGGTTCAGATATAGCTATAGCTCCCATATACCCACAGCCCTAATATGCACTCCGTAACAACGATATTCTAGGAAATATATCAAATACAGCTCAGAAATATCTTTGCCAAATTTTATCGAGATCGGTTCCGATTTGGATATAGCTCCCATATATATCTTTATCCGATTTCAAATTAATTGTGCACCAAATGGGTAATACAAGTCCGAATTTAAAAGATACAAATGCTTCGGCATATTTAGCCCTTTGAACTTTAAATTATAATTATAATCATAGCGTGTATGATTGAGTTCTCCCATAAAAACTTCTAATTGCGCAGCTCTACTAAATTAGCAAAGTGGTGTAGGGTATCATAAAGACGGCCCTGACCGACTTTAAGACTTTCTTTACTGTTTTTTTTTTTTTAATTTCCAAATTCTTGTGTATTTTCTCATTTCAGTTTTTTTTTAATAAATTTATTCCTTTTTATCTTCATTTTCAATTCATTGTCTAGAATATATTTTCGGGTTAATATATTATACCTTAAAATTATTGTTATTGCATTAAACCAATTAGCCTATTTCAAGAAAAATAAAAGAAGCATTACAAGAACAAGAATGGCAATCAATTAACATATGACGGGCACTTAGACAACGTGACAAGGGCGACAGACAACGTTGCAGCAACAAAAAACGATGAAAACATTTTCTTTTTTTTCATCGCCTAAAAGTTGGCTTGTGTTATTTTTAACATTGTAAGCCTAATAATATACCACATTTTGTTAAAAAAAAACCACATGACATTCACAAGGTTAGACGAAAACAATGAACATTATTTCTAAGAATTATGACAGAATAGAAGAGAATTTTAAAAGAGGGAAGCAACAAAACATGAGCGACTTTACAATACAAGCACGTGTTCACGTGCACGTTTTTATTTGCAGCTAGCGTACGACTTTTTTTAGCTAAGGAACGACCAACAAACAACAAAAACATATAGCCAACCTGATAGTACAGAGTACTGTATCTGTCACTGATTGGAGTGTAAGATCTTTGATAGGGAAGCTGTAAAAAAAAATAAACAGAATAAAATGAAATAAATGGAAATTAAATAAATAATTGAAAGAGAACTTAAATTATGTTTAAAATAAATTTAAATAAATAAATTTTAATTCTAAAATATTTAAACGTAAGAAGATTATTTTTTTTTTGTAATAAATTATCACAATTTTAATTGAATAATAAATAATTCAAGGAAATTGTAAATATATAAAATAAACATGAAACTGTGACACAAACAAAAAATAATGACAAGGAAAATCCAGTAAATTATGAAAGAAGAGCTGAAAACAGAATACACCTGTATTGGCATTTTGAATGTTTAGAACGTAAAGTAACCCAAATAGTGGGGACAAGTTTCCATTTTTCCACATTTTTTTTTTTAGTTTTTCGGATTAAGATTTCTTTGGATCCGTTGATTTTTGGTATATAGTGTCTTCTGCAATATTACAGATAATAATACGATGATTATTTTGGTAGGAAATGTTAACCCTCAAGCGAGTCACCAAAGGGGTCCTTTTTCCAATTTTGACTGAAAAGGGGATCATAGCTAGTCAAAATATTCCACAAAATTATTTGTCATAAAATTCAATAAAATTCAAAAGTATAAGTCTTACTTAAACACCAGAAATTTATACACGAGTATATTAAAAAAAAACATGCAAAAATCTCCAACAAAACATCATTTTAGAAGGATAACGTCAAAGACGAAAATATTCTTCATCAAATTTCAATATGAGTTATAAAAGAAAATAGATCGACATTTCCATTGTATATGCACAGAATATTTGCATCAATGTTGCCCAAAAAAGGCTCGAACATACAGGGTGAGATAAAAAAAACGGAAAAAAATTCAAACGCCATAAATTTTACATTTTTTAAATTCTATTGAATGAAAGCAAACAAGTAAAACAACAGTAAGTTTGGCCGGACCGAACTTTGAATACCCTCCACCATTTGGAACGAATGTAGACATTCTCAAAAATAAAATCCATTAAAAACTCAGTTAAAATCTTTTAAATACCTAATATCGGAAGTTGCCGATATATGGAGGGATATACAATATTGTGGACCTATATTGACAAATATATGTCCAGGGGTAAAGTACTCACAAAGAACTCCTTGTGTAGAATTTCAGATAATTTCGTTTAAAAATGCGGCTATAATCATCGAAATACCGAATATCGACGGGTACCGTTATATAGGGGCTATACGATATCGCAGTCCTATGTAGATAATTCTCTCCCAAGGGATAAAGTACTCACAATGAACTCCTTGTATGGAATTTCAGACAATTCCATTGAAAAATGTGGCTGAAATCATCAAAATGCCGAATATCGAGGGGTACCGTTATATTATACGATATCGTGGACCTATATACACAATTCTCTTTCAGGGAGTAAAGTGCTCACAAAGAACTCTTCGTGTAGATTTTTGGCCTATATCGAAGCGCTAGCTCGAAGTGATCGACACTTCGGTATTTCTTAGTGCCAACCTTGCTTTCCAAAATACACCAGACACAATAGTCTAACGGATTGGTATCCAGAGATTTTGGTAGCAGTTGTACTTTGGAAATGAAGCGAGGAACCTAATTTTGTAACCATTCTTGGATGGCGCGTGCTGAGTGCGATGGTGCTGAATCCTATTGGAATGTCCAAAGTCTGCGGCCAAAATGTTTGCGTGTCCAAGGCTTCAATACACCCACCAGAATATTTTCGCGATAATATTCGGCATTTATTTTGATGTCTTGGTCTATTAATACGAGCGGAGAGCGATCATCGGCTGTTATGGCGGCCCACACCATCACCATGGCCGGCCCTTGAGTTCTGGTGGCCAACCGAAGGTGCACATTTTCAGCTGACCTCTTTGGCTAGTAAACACGATCATTTTGTATGTTTACAAACTGCTGGACAACGAATGTTTTCTCATCGGAGAAAACCAAATTCGGCAGTTCACCACTTTGTAGGTCCATGTTTTCATATAGCCCCCATATAACGGTACATTATTCACCGGAATTGTTTTAAAGTTAGTATTTGAAGTTCGAAATGGATACTACACCCTGAGACAGAAAATTGTCTGTGCAAGTCTGCGTCTTCGTATAGCCCCCATATAATGGTACCTCCCGATATTCGGTATTTTTATGATTTTAGCGACATTATTCACCGGAATTGTTTCAAATTTGGTATTTGAAGTTCGTTATGAGAACTACAGTCTGTGACAGAAAATTGTCTATGCAGGTCCAGGTCTTCTTATAGGCCATATATATCAGTACCTCCCTATATTCGGTATTTTGACGATTTTAGGTACAATACCCATCGAAATTGTTTGAGATGTGGTATTTGAAGTTCGTAATAGATGCTACAGCCTGTGACAGAAAATTGCCTATGCAGGTGCAGGTCTTCGCACAGCTCCGATATAACGGTACCTCCCTATATACGATGTTTTGATGATTTCAGCAACATTATTCACTGTTTATTTCAAGTTTCGAATTTGACTATGGTAATGGCTTATGACAAATAATGCCTATGTAGGTGCACGTCGTATAGACCCCAATATAACGGCTATATTTGGTATTTTTAACATTTTAACAGAATTTTATTTTTTAAAAATTTCCAAATTCGTTCCAAATGGTGGAGGGTGATCAAAGTTCGGCCCGGCTGAACTTACTGCTTTTTAACTTGTTGGAATTTCAATGGCTTTACCCCGAGCTCATTTTTCAATATTTGCCAAATGGAATATTGCGGCCACTGCGACGCGGGTTTCGTCCACTTCCTTGACGTCGGCCTACGCTACCAGTATCACGGTAACGAGCGATGATACGAAACACAAAAGATTTATTCACATTTAAATTCTGGAGTGCTCTAAAGATAGCCACTTGTGGTTTTCCAGCCAAATATAAAGAAATCACACTATCACGCATGAGTTCCATCACGAATAACTTTTTTTCTGGAAAATTCTCACCAAAATGCTTTTGTACGCTTGTAAACAATATAAAGAACTGTCATTGGAATAATTTTAACAGCTGTCGGACGAGTGGCTTAGAATTGACAGCAGTCTGAAGTTTGTTGCAGTTTTTTCATCTCATTATGTATGTGTATATTTTGCATATATCTTTAATTGGAATCAAGAAAGGCCAATTAAAAATTTTCATATGCTAATGACCTCTAGTCCAAAATTCAACGCATAAATCCCTCCCACACAGTAATATAATATATATATACACAAACTAAATGTCTTTAGTTGTCATGCCAATAAATTTACAGGTAAATGTGTGCTAAAATATTTCTCTGCTTATTTCGTCTTCATGTTTGCACCCAAAAAACTACACACACACCTTGGTGGGATGTTCATAAAAAATGACCAAAACGCTTGCGATGACCTTCACATTGTTTACTTTTTTTTCAAGTTATTTTCAAATTTTCGAAAATTTGCTGTTCACAAGACAACATACACACATACCATGCATACATGTACACAAAAACACGCAATAACACCTTTTTATGTGTACCAAAAAAAAAATTAGTCCACCCACAACTACAATAGGTCGTCTTAATGGGTTAAAAAAATGTCCCACCTTTGTCAATTTAAAATTAAATATTCTTTCACGTTGCTGTGAATGGATGACATTTGGCAATGATTTCGACGATGAAAAAATCTCAAAATAATATATAAATGAGGGGGGATTATGCTTGCCATTTTATTTCATTTTAGAATTTATAGCCAACATTTCGCTGTATTTTCTTTCAGCATTTTATTTTCAATTTTTGTTAATTTATAATTAGCTTTTCATAAAAAAATATTTTTTTTTCTTTTTAAAACAACAACTATTTGCTTTGCTGTTTTGGGGGGAATGGGTAGGTGGTAGAGGCATTGAAAATTGATTTCATTGTTTATTTTGGTTTAGATCACAAGACATAAACAAAAAATTAAAATTTTGAAAATTTTCCTTTTAATTTGCCAAATTTTTCACAAAATCAAATGTTTATGAGGCAAAGTGTATGAGTGTTTGTGAACTTGTGTTTGTTTGTTTAGGTAGTATTAAAGAAATGAGTCATCCCAGGTGATTAAACATAAATATGTTGGCATGTAGCGTATATACATATATGTGTCGCAGAAAATGTAATAAACAGACAGTTTGTCTGTGGGTGTTTTCGTTTATTTTTATATTTTTGGATATATTTCCTGTAGAGATAGATATAAAGAGGCACTTTGTGTTCCCATCCATGGAAATAGGTCCCACTTTTGGTATAGTCGCCATTTAACCCGATATTTTGTATTCAAAAGATTTCGTCACATCTGCATTCCAATTTTTGTTGAAATTTTGGTATTTTGAGTTCTAAGGTTACGAAAAGTCCTAAAATGGTACTTATCTTCTGAAATGGTACCATTTGGTATGATGTGAACGGATATGGCTAAAAATTTACAATTTAGAATGAGCATTAAGGTCAGAAGTTAAGTTTGATGTATGAAAGTGGTTTTTAAAATCTGTACTAAGTGTGCAAGTACAAAATAGTACAAAATTTGGAACATTTTGGTTTAGGGTGAACGGATAAAGCTAGACTTTTGTATGGCAATCCCTGTTGGTGGTAGGTTTGTGATAAAGATGTGATTTTGGAAATTGGTACTACAAGTGCACAAAAAGTAATAAACAGTTCTATACTTGGTACAATTTGGTATTGAATGAAGATAAAGGGCTTGAAATCTGAAATTTGGTACATATTTTTGTATTAGAGACGCTGTTCATGAGTAGCCTGGATATATGAAGGTGGTTACGTAAATGTGTATTATAATTGTACGAAAAGTCCTGAATGGTACTATATATAGGGTTATGGGATGAAGATAATTTGCTTGAAATGTGAAAAAAAAAATTGAAAATTTTCCTTTTCATTTGCCAAACTTTTCACAAAATCCAATTTGGTATTCATCTGTACATATGGATATGTTACGAAAATGTGTACGAAAAGTACTGAATGGCACTTGTCCGAAAAGTACTAAATGGTACTAAA